TCTTCCTTGAATGCCTTCAAATCCTTCCCGAATGCCTCTCAAGCGCCGATTGCCGGACTCTAACTTCTTCAATTCAACTCCAATTGCAACAAAACTCGATCCAACGCCTGCTAAACACAACTTGAGCAAAAATTGAGACTTGCAACGCCTTAAATCTAGGAAAACCATCAAAATCCGACCCGAACACACATCAAATGCGTGTTCAAATTCGGACTTATCAGTACCATCTCACTGCCTTCAGTCTCCCATCTCTGTAAAATCCACGCTCACAACTCCACCTTTGTAGCATCCACATACACTATTGTCGCCTGCACACCTCCGGGATCCGGTTCCACCTCTATTGCATCCACGCAGCTGATGCCTCCACAGAAATGCACATGTGCACCATTGGTCTCATTTCTTTTTTCTCTTCTTGATTCTATTGGTGTTGAAGGTGTCGAAAATCCTTTATATTTGAAGATGGTGATAGGCCACAAGAGTAGGGGAAATAATAAAATAACCGTGGTCTCATTGATCCACAGAAATGCACATGTGCACCTACCGCAAAGAACCTGCGCCCCTCCACTTTTGTGTGTTCTATCATTTGTTATCAATGGATCTTTCTCTAAATAGGATTTCATGTCTTTTCTTTAAGTGTAACTAAACATTAATTAAAAGTTAATTTACCCGTCTTATAATAATTAATTAATATAAAATAAATTCCCCCCTAGTTACCCTGAGCATAATCAAGGCAATCCAGCAGTGGTGACACCACTCCAAAGGCAGAAGCGACGAACAACTTTGAATTTGTGGCGGCTGGCGGTCCGAGTGTGGCTACTCTCCAACCCCAATAAGGGTATATTTTTTCAATCACAAATAATAATATTTGTTTATAGAATATTAAAAATTAAGTCTTATTTTTGGAAATGAGCATGTTTAGTTTTATCCTATTCAGAGAGCTCTCCCCTATTTCATGCGCTAATGTGCTAATGCCCTAGACAACTATGTAAAAACGAAGTATCGGAAGGGGTAGGGGTGGGCTCGATCCCGGTCCTTGGATAGGTCAGGGTCAAGAACGTCGGGTTTTTGAATCGGGACTGGAACCGCAAAATAAAGTCATGTGTCGGGACCGAGATTGAATTGTTGGAAAATAATGTCAATTACAATATCTACATCTAAACATTGTACTTAACTTACTAAAAATATACCCCCTCTGTCCCCAAAACAAGTTCTTCATTCCTTTTCAGACATATTAAGGAAATAAATTTATTGAGGGTAAATTTTACTGTTATGACACTGTTTGGCACTGTTTTAATGTAGATTATTTGCCAAATAAGAAAATGTATTGAAAGGAGAACTTAATGCAGGGATTATCCAGAAAGAAAAATGGAAACTTGTTTCAGGGACGGAGGGATTATAAATATACGTTCAAATAAGGTGAGAATGAGAAATAAGATGTTTTCACTTATTACCGATGCATACATTTTCCATATTTTTGCATTACAAATGTTCTAATAATAAGGGTAAACGGGAAACCATAAATTATGGTGCAACTGCCAACTGCAACTTTTGTTGGAGATCGATAGTGTGTATAAATTTAGACAAAAAATAATGCAAAGTGGGTGCCTCGATGGTGTAGTTGTCAAAGCTTCAAAGATAATGTGAAAAGGTTGCTATATATTGTACCAGAAAAAACAACAATTCATACGGAAAACGGAAATTGTACTGGAACACACTAACTAGTGGTGGGCCTTCAGTGCAAACCGAAAAAACAATGAACTCTTTTTCCACATCAAAATTAGGTCACTGTTTGCACTTTGGGGATCTAATCACTGTTTAACAGAACAGCCACTACTCTCATTTCCCTCATCTCATTCTTCCTCCTATTCATACTTCCCACCATTTCCTTTCCCCCATCTCTGGTCAACAAACTCTCATGGAGCTCTCCCCATTCCTTAGCCAATTATGGAAAACCAGAATAAAGAAAAACAAAATTACAATTTTCTTATCAATTTCTGTTGTCGGTTTATTTTTTCTAAAACATGTTTCTACTTAAAAAGTTCCCATAAACTTGTTTGTTTCCTACCTTCCAAATTTCTCTTTATTTTTTGTTCCAAACATGTTTTTGGAACAAAAAATTTGGGGTGTTTGATAAACGACGTTTCGGTCGACAAATAGCCGTTTGACCACTTTAACGTTTTCAATAAGTGAAAAAGTTGTTTGGTAAATACTTGTTCGGCACCAGCATTTTTGGACGGAAACGCTGAAATGAAAACGCTACTAATAAGAGAGTTTTCGATTGACGTTTTGAAATATGGCGTTTTCTACTAATTTTATGGTCAAAAAGCTAAATTGCCAAACTTTCTCTGATAACCAACCATTTTTTTCCGCTAGTCAAATCTGTTGACCCAATCCGCTATTAACATCCGCTATCTGCTAACCTTTTGAACGCCAAACACGCCCTTTGTATTATACATACACTACAATTTTTTAAGGGCCGACATCACCAGCACCCTCTTATAGTCCTATCTTCAAATTCTTCACCACCCACTACAAAAAAAATTACGAGATTGACACAGATTTGGCATGGATTTACTGATAATTTCGTGTCAAATAGCTCGTGCCAAATTGGTACATCCCTTCCAATTTTGGAAAATTCCTACCAAAATTCGTGTCAATCTTGTGTTTTTTATAGTGACTATTTGACATAGTAATAGTTCATAGTTTTTCAATTTTTCTACCTTGAAAATGTGAGGAAATCATATAAATTTGCTAAGTTGGACTAAGTTTTCGAGAAATATACAGAGTAATTAAGATAATCACAACATCTGAAAATAAGATAGAGGTCAGAGGAGATTAGGAGAATATGCTTCGCTGATAATGTAAAATGTCACAATATTTAATCATAATTTTTTAGGAGGGACGATGAATACACCAACTTGAGTTATCCTACTGGCCCACTCCCCAACTTAATGACGTATCCAATTTTTAAATAAACAACTTTTGGACCAAAACATTTTTTGATTAAACAAAAATCATCTAATGAATCCGCCTATTATATGTTGATATTTTAAGTATATATTACTCCGTATGTATTATATACATAATATAATATAATACGTAAGTATTATATTATGTATTAGTACTTTTAAGATTTAATCTATAGAAAATATGTTGATATTTTAAACTTTAGTTCTTGTAATTTAAAATTTTTAAGGACTGACCCATTAACCGTAGATTTCTCATTCCGTCAAAGGGAGTGTTTAATATGTTTTATTATGCTTAATATCAATGTTACGTGCTATAGAAAACAAGTATGCCAGATTGCCAGGTTGTGGGCGACTCCCAATTCCTATAATTAAACTGTTCCAAAAATACATTAACAAATCTTTGTAGTTGATATCGATTATCGTACACGTTTGTTCAGCATTCATGATGGTGGGTGGCTTTAAAACTTAAACGCGCATTAAAATGGCATATGAAACCAAACAATGAAAAAGAATCGACCGCCAATAATGTAGACATAAAACTGTTTTTACTTTGGACTAGAATGTTTTTTGAATTTTCTAATCAGTACAATAAATATCTGGTCTCTGCGTGTTCTATAATTGCCGAATTCTGGTCTGCTCTAATATGAATTGGTATGATCTATAACTGAAATAAGTATAAGTAAAAGCATCACAAGAGGAGGAAAAGGACATCATGGCACGCGTTCTTTTTCAGGCTCTATTCAGGGACGGATCCAGGATTTTGGGTCAAGGGGGGCGAAATTTTTTGTTAGTGTAGGGGGTGAAATTTTTTTTCGTTAGTGTAGTGGGATAAAAAAAAATTCCCTAGTGTAGCGGGGCAAAATTTTTTCACAACTGTAGGGCTATGCGGCTATTTTTATTAAAAAAATGACATTAATACATATATATCCCCCAACGACATATAAATCTATTACATTCTAAATTTAGACAATGACAAAGACATCAACCAATACATTTTTAATAACTTCTATATTGTTTAATCTTATGAATCGGTTATTGAATTGTAATTTTTGTCCATCAAGGAGGGTGTTCGTGAGTCATGACTCATGAGAAGTTTTCTTAATATTACAATAGTAGTATGTATGAGATTATTTTTTTTAGAATAATATGCACCACATACACACACTATATGGTGCATATTATATTTTAATATTTGTAGTAATGCTATAATAATTTAAATTTTATTATCTATGCAATAAATTATTTTTAGAAAGCAAGAAGTAAATGAATTATGTAATTTAATGTCAATAAATATTTATATTTTGGATTCATTTCACGTGATCTAAAAACTGTGTAATTAGTGTGTCTGGTATTTAATATTGTTTGATATATATTTTACAAAATTGAGTACTTGTTATCTAATAAAGATAATTACACATTACAAAACTAGGAATTCTTATATAATAAGTATCTTAAATCTTAAACAACGAGTTATGTAAATTATATTAGATGTTCTTTCTTTTAAATATCCAATTAAGTATTACATTATGTAAGACTATATATTAATTTTGAAAATTAAAAGCTAAGGGGGGCGAATCTAATTAAATTATGAAAGTTTTATGAAAATATTATATATGTGGTAGAAATTTTTCAAAGTCCAAGGGGGGCGGTCGCCCCCCCGCGCCCCCCCTAAATCCATCCCTGGCTCTATTGATAAGTAAGATTCTTAGAATATCTCTAATATTATAATGTGCACGACGCGTATGTGACGATAGACACATAAAAATTAATAAGCAAAATATTTCTCTTCTTATTTAAATGTTGAGTGGAACATCTACATAAAGACATTGTAATTGACACTATTGAGAAAAAAATATCAAAAACATAAAAGAACGTGAGAAGAAAGAGATAAGAAATGTTACACATTGATTTTTTGTCTATTTCTCTCATACCATATGTCTATCCCGAACATTGTATCATTGGTCATTGGAGACCCTTAGATATAAACTACACTTATAAAATTTCAAGGAAATTTGTATAATTTTGTTGATATAAGGAGATTAAACAATACTGTACCATTAATAGAAAAGTTTACTTCAAAGAGAAGGAATTGACGAGGAAGGAAGAGTAAGAATGATATCTATATGTATACACACTGTACAGGGCTTCCTTCAAATCTAGGCGACTCATGAACAGAGTAAACAACGAAAGCTAATAACAGAGACCTCTCCACCACAACCATATGCTCATATATTTTCCTGATTCTTCAAAAATCCAAACCTAAATATATATAACTTTCCAGTCGCATTTCATTAAGTAATTAATAGAAAGGCACTGATTCGACTCCACGGACAAAAGGTTTGTACGGCGGCGGCGGCTCTTGCACTTCCACCACAATCTTCTCCGGATGAAGCGGCTGACGTGGACAAGGCAGAGCTAAGAACTTCGCCACTTGATCTCCGGGCATTACTACCGGCAGAGTCAAGCTCCTGTTTTGCTTTAAATCCTGTTAAAGTACACATTTTTAATTAATTCTATTATTTCCAAGAACTAAAAAACAGGGTATGAAATGGTAGAAATCCTTACCGACTGTGAATCAGTAGTGGGTTTGTGGGGCCCGCCATCACCACCGGAAGCCGGGCCGTCGGAGAATGATCGCCGGAGGGATCGGACCTTGTCCCAGTGGTAGCAGCAGGAAAAGACGCCGCTCAAGCTGAAGATGACGATCAAGAGAAGGGCGGTGCCGAGAGGGAAACCCAATGACGGCCGAGACGCATCCGCATGCGGCGGTGCAGAGTATGGACTCTCCATTACCACTCTTCTTAACACAATGGTTTCTCGCAGTTGTCGGAGATCCTAATGCTTCCCTCATCAGAGGGTCGAATGGTCGATGAATGTTTTTTCTTCTGAGCTGAAAAAATTGAAGCTTTTGAATTGGGAAGTGGGAGACGAGGAGGGTGGGAATTTATAGAGACAATGCTGTGTACGATGGCTAGTTTTGGTCAAATTTGTCTCAAACTTGGTCTATTTTTTATTGCTTCACTCTTATTTGTGAAGAAGAGGAAAACAATTTTTCCTCTTCTTACTGGTTTTTCCAAAATTATTACTGAAATAAAGTTCATTGAAAAAATATGATAAGTTATTTTAACTTTTAAGTACTTCGTATATAACAATATGATCACTTAGGTGTAAAAAACTGACTAAAATTAATCACTAAAATTTACTACTATAGCTACTGATGGATCGTCGATCCTGGGGTAGCCGGAATCCAAGAAATGAGGGAGAAAACCGGCAAAGATACTAGAATTTAGTCCTATAGCTATCGTGGCGTAGCCGGAATCCGAGAAGTGAGGGAAAAAACTTGGGTGTTCATAAACTTATGGAATATTTTACTCTAATAATCCCACCTAGGGATGGCAATTTAACCCGACCCGATGGATACCCGCACCGAACCGAACCGGTCAAAATGGGGAAAACCGTTTTGACTGGGTAACGGGTACGGGGCGGGGAATACCCGATTTATGTAAACGGGTAATGGGGTGGTTATGGGTTTATACCTACCCGCCCCGTTACCCGCCCCGTTACCCGCCCCGTTTAATTTGGATACGGTTACCCGCACCATTACCCGACCCGCACAATTAACTTATATATTTTAATAGTTTATGTATTTATTATTTAATATATTAAGTATATATGAATATTAGTACATTAGTATATGACACTTATTCTCTCTAGTACTTTGAAACAATATTCAATTTATCGGCTATCCTTTGCAATTCTGATGATCGAGTTGGTGCTCAAAGTTCACTATTTTAGATTTTAAATTTTCAATATCATTCATCATCCTTCCTTTGTTAACTTCTATAATATTCCTTCAAAAAAACCTCTACAATATTTATTTTCTTCACATATTGATTATTTGATTTTCGTGACTTTCTTTACGCAATTTCCACATTGTGACTCTCTTAGTTTTTCACCCAATAACTTTCATAAAACTCACGAATGAGTTTAAAGTCAAAATATTGCGAAACATTACTCTAGCTTGCTTTAATTTATGTAATTGCTAATAATTTTGTAAAGGTGTATTGGATGATTAGATTAATTTTGATTGGTTGCTCTAATTTATATCAAGTTTTAAAATTTAAATTATGTTTTTTTTTCTAAAACAGTAACTACAAGAATACCTAAATCAAAGTATTAGAAGTGCCTTTTAAATAATTCCAAATCTATAATCAAAATAAAAGTTGTGGACAAAAATGCGACTCTAGTAACTTTAGTGTTTATAATTTTATTCAAATGGTATGTCGTAGTGATTACAAAACTTACTCATGGTAACTTATAGTCATATTTATGTTCATATCTTTTTTATTAGAGGTATTTTAGGGGAAAAACTTCCCATTTTCATTATGTTACTTGTATACATTATTGTTCTTAAATTAATTTAGATGTTGAATGTTGGTGGGGGTATGCTTATTGAATGTTTGGAAGTTAAATGTTTTTTTGATTCATATTTAGTTTTTACTATCGAGACAAGACTTACTCTTTTGATGTTGATGTGGTAAGAGATTCAATTTGAATCTAGACATATATAATTTGTGAATATTAGATTCAAATGATTGTAACTTTTTGTCATGTTTTAAAAAACTTTATCTGTGGTACTATTTAATTTTAATTTTTTTTTAATTTAGGTGGTCAATGATAAGTAGTTAATAATCATTTTAGGATCTATACTAGTTTTGAAGGAAAAAAAATTATTTTTTAATACAACGGTTACCCGCGGGGAAAACCGTTACCCGCGGGTAAAAAAATACCCGACGGGTAACGGGGCGGTTTCGGGGAATTTTTTTATCAAACGGGGCGGGTACGGGTAATGGTATACCCGACCCCGAACCGCCCTGTTGCCATCCCTATTCCCACCTTTTATTATTCTTCTCAAAATGGTCCCACTTATTAATAATCTGAAATAAATCCCACTTTTTCATGTCATCTGCTTTATTTGGTCCCAAGCACTTGTTACCGGTTACTTAAGTAAAAGTCAACAAAGCCATTTAAAAAAAAAATTGACCCTGCTCCTTTCAAAAAACATGACGGCCTGATGTTGAACATCCAAGAAACATGACCGCTCCAAGAAACATCCAGATTTCCGCGGTGATTTGAAAAATCCTTCCGAAAAATTGACCGCTTAATCCAAGAAAAATCATAAGACGGCGATGGGGGATGATGCTGGAGAACAAGAGTGAGGTCTAAGGAGGATGATAGTAGCTACATAACTAGTAATAACGATACTAGTTCTTCAATCCCTTTTGTATTTACTGATAATATATGTGTGTGTGTGTGTGAAATCCCTAATTGCTCATTACATAATTTCTTATTTGAAATACAAACTTGAAAAAGAGTAATGAAATAATGGACACTCCAGCCAATTGAAACACTACTTGTTTATCCCGCCCAGTATAAGTTTGATAAAATGCCAAAGACAATTTTAATGTAAAATTTGTAAAAGAAATATGGAGTTATGAAGATACTTTACATAGTAATTGGATCCTAACTATATTTATTGTGTGCAAACTTTAAATCATTGTTTGTCTTTATTAGGTTACTAAGGGAGTAATGGATTGTGTATCATTGACATTCTGGCATGGTGGCCTTTTCAGAAAAGAAAATAATGAAATAGTTTATTTGGATGGGCATAGTAGGACCTTTGACGTAGACCCTGACAAACTTTGTTGGTTTTGGTTGGAGGAATGGGCAAAAGAATGTGGCACTTTCAATGTAATTGATGAATTGTTTTATCTGGTTCCCGGACTTACTTTGGACAAGGGCTTAAGAAGAGTATACAATGATAAAGAGGTTTTAAAAATTGTAAACTGAGTAATAGGGATAAAAGATGGAATGAAATCACTTTCTTTTATTCATTGGGTAGAGCCAGTATATATACATACATGCTAGAGAATACAAAAGGAAACTAAATCTGCCAGATTTACATAGAATATTTAGTCTATCGCAGAGAATATATTAGCTACCAAATATATACATAGAATATTTTGACTATTAAATATGTATATTCTAACATTAAATATGTATATTCTAACACTCCCCCTCAAGCTGGAGCATAGATATTAATCATGCCCAGCTTGGTACAGATGGAATTGATACGTGTCCCCGGTAGAGCCTTGGTAAACACATCTGCCACTTGATTTCCTGTTTTGATGTGTGGAGTGCAAATTGTACCATCTTCCACCTTTTCTCGAGTAAAGTGACAATCAACTTCGATATGCTTTGTTCTTTCATGAAAAACAGGATTATTTGCAATATGGATAGCTGCTTGGTTATCACACCATAATCTCATTGGTTCTGTTTGAGCAAATCCAAGTTCACCAAGCAAATGCCGAAGCCAAACCAGCTCACATGTCGTCTGTGCCATAGCTCGGTATTCAGATTCTGCACTTGATCTAGAGACAACATTTTGCTTCTTACTCTTCCAAGATACAAGGTTTCCTCCAACAAACACACAGTAACCAGTGGTGGAATGTCGGTCATTAGGGTTTCCAGCATAGTCCGCATCAGTAAACCCTTCAATAACATGATGTCCGTGGTTTTGATATAGTATCCCACGCCCTGGAGCCCCCTTCAAGTATCTTAGGATATGTGTAACTGCATCCCAGTGTGATGTTCGTGGAGTGGACAGAAACTGACTGACCACACTTACCGGGAAAGCAATGTCAGGTCGGGTGATAGTCAAATAATTCAGTTTCCCAACAATCCTTCGGTATAGCTCAGGATTTTCGAGCAAGTCACCTTCATCAGCCGTTAACTTTACATTTGGGATCATCGGAGCATCACAAGGTTTTGCCTCAACCAAACCTGCATCATTTAGAACATCTAGGCACTATTTTCTTTGAGACAAGTAAGTTCCCTTGTTACTACGTGAAACTTCTATCCCTAAGAAGTACTTCAAGGGCCCAAGATCTTTGGTCCGAAAGCAAGTAGCCAGGAAAGATTTTAGTTTCAAAATACGACCCGCATCACTGCCAGTGATCACGATATCATCAACATACACAACTAATAGAATACATCCAGAATTGGAGGTAGAGAAGAAAACTGAATGATCATAGGCACTCCTGCGTAGCCCAAATTTAAATATTGTTGCACTGAAACGGCCAAACCAAGCTCGTGGGGATTGTTTCAGACCATACAACGATTTCCTTAATTTACATACCTTTCCAAACTCCCCCTGAGCAACAAACCCCGATGGTTGCTCCATGTATACTTCCTCACTAAGGTCACCATTCAAAAAAGCATTTTTAATATCAAGTTGATGGAGTGTCCAATTGTAAGTAGCAGCCAAAGACATAAACAATCGAATGGATGTAAGTTTGGCAACAGGAGAGAAAGTGTCAAAGTAATCTATACCATATGTCTGAGCATAACCCTTAGCTACTAACCGTGCCTTTAAACGAGCAACAGAACCATCAGGATTCATTTTGACAGTGAACACCCATTTACACCCAATAGCTTTTTTGTTGGGTGGAAGATACATAAGGTCCCATGTGTGGTTCTGATCAAGAGCCATCATCTCCTCTCGCATTGCCTCTTGCCAACCAGGATGAGCCAAGGCCTCAGAAACAGTTGAAGGAACAACAATAGAATCTAAACATGCAACAAAGCTCTTGGATGAAGGTGACAATGCATCATAAGTAACAAAGGAAGAAACAGGATAAGTACAAGTCCGGGTACCTTTTCGGAGGGCAATTGGGAGATCAAGGTCAGAGGGAGCAGAATCTGGAGCCGAAACAGAAGATGGTGGTACACTGGTAGCCAACGTAGGTGCCGTAGTCACAGGGTGCACACGACGAGAATAAACTTTAAGGGGAGGAGGTGGAGGAGGAAGGACAGTTGATGGGGAAACCTCACTGGGGGGGAACGATTCTAGCTGGCTGGTGGTATAGACTAGAAACTCATCATTAGAGAGTTCCAAAGAAGGGGATGAAGATGAATTATGCTGAAAGAAGGGTGTTTCTTCAAAAAATGTGACATCTGCAGAGATAATATACCGTCCCAAGGAAGGAGAATAACATCGATATCCTTTTTGTAATCGGGAATAACCCAGAAAAACACACTTGATTGATTTAGGATCAAGTTTTGAGACCTGGGAACGCATATCCTGGACAAAGCATGTAACACCGTCCCCAAATATATTTACTTTTATGTAAATAATGTATTGAACCTTATTAAAGGATTTACGAATTTACGAAGTTGTAAATTTTTATTATTTCGTTCGCGTGAATAGTAAATTGCACGTGGGACCCACACCAGGGGCGGGGGCCGCCCGGCATTTCCGAGACTATATATTTTATTCCTCTTGGTCTAGATAATAAATATATAGTGGTGGATATTTCATTTGGGCAATGGAAAGGCCCAGAGTTGACCGATTGGTCAAAAGAAGCCCAAATTACCGGTACTGGTAATTTAACAGATATCAGCCCGGAAATGAAATTCGGAGACTCCTAAATCAATGTTTTGGAATATATACTATTTCAAAAGTCCATTACGATTGAGGACACGTAATATATTTTATTTTACCCGATAAAATAAAATATGATTAAAACAGTCCGAAAAATACAACTTTCGGGACCGATTGTACACCTCGGGACACAAGGGATGACCTCCCACATGAGTGGGGGCCATCCCACGTTTTATTAGCTCCATGTGACCCCTTGGGAGCTGCAAGGACAAGGGAAGGTGGGAGGAAGGTCAACCATGTGGTAGGATGGGACCCTTTTCCCCCATAATTGGTGAGATGAGCCAAAAAGGCCATCCTATCACCCCCTCACCCCAATAGCTCGACCAAGCCACCCAAGAAAGAGAAAGAAAGGCTCTCCAACCCTCCTCCATTGCTGCAACTCGAGCTCAAGCAAGAAAGGTCCAAGGAGTGGGATTAAAGAAGGAAAAAGGGCTAGGAAAAGTGTGTAAATCAAGGTAATGACCTTATTATAACTTCTCCTTTATTTTTCTTCTACCATATAAGATATATATCATGTGAAGGATCCTTAAGAGGGTTCTACATGTTATGAGTATGGATTTATGGGTTGGGAAGTGATTCTATGTCCAAGAACGGACTTAGAAGTCAAAACGACCGGTTCACCGGAAAATAACCTTTTTGAGGTTATTTGTATTAACATGGGTTTTATGATTATAAAACCTTGTTAGGCACTTGTAAAGGGTATTTCAAGTGATTTCACAAAGTTGGAAAAGTCGCCGGAATTGTCGCCGGAGTTGACCAAAAGTCGCCGGAGTTTCACCGGAGTTCAACCAAGAAGGGTAGAACTTCTTAACGCTAGTTCAAGGTGAGTGGACGGCTTAATATCTTATAACTTTTGGGTCAATTATGAGATTACCTAAATGAATGTTATATGTGTTCATAATGATGTTTAAAAGATATTTAAACATGTGATTAGCCAACATAGTTAAGTGCGTATGAAAAGAATAATTGTTTATGCATGAAATATGATATGAGAAATTATATATAATGCATATTTGTTTTAAGAGTAAAAGAAGCACAATGGAGATTATTAACTTAATTATATGATGAATTAGTTAATAAGTGTAAGACTTGAGATGGCGGTCAACAACAACGTTGACCGATGGTAAATGGATTAATTAATATCGGTTGATATTAGTTAATTATACATTTATATGGTTGCATGGATTTGCATGGATTGTGATACATAAGCTTTATGTAGTGAATTAGTTATGAATGACTAAATATGATATAGACCCTATCTAGCGTGATATGTGGTAAGTCATAGGTCGGGTGGAGTACCCAAGGATCGGGCGGTTATCCTCAAAACTCGGTTATATAGGGTGGAGTACCCAAGGATCGGGTGGTTATCCTCAAAACTCGGTTATATAGGGTGGAGTACCCAAGGATCGGGCGGTTATCCTCAAAACTCGGTTATATAGGGTGGAGTACCCAAGGATCGGGCGGTTATCCTCAAAACTCAATTATAGGGTGGAGTACCCAAGGATCGGGCGTGTATCCTCAAAACTCATAGATTTCAGTTAATGATCTAGGACCGGGCGGTGTCCTTATGATAATTTATTTGAACAAGGAGGAGTTCTATACACTCATAGGTATATGGGTGGGTTGGGATTTAAGTCAAGGATATTGGCAACTATTATTTTCCCAAATAAACAATGACCTACGGGTCGGGTATTTCCAAGTGTATGTATACTAATATGTATTTCAAACTTGGGGGAAGGATTATACGTATATGTATCACCCTATGTTTGGGTCCTATACTTGAAATGTTAGTTATTCTATATTTAGCCTGCTACTCGCTCGGTACTTGTACTGACCCCTTCGGGGGCCCCACCATTTTCAGGTTGAAGCTAGGGCTTGCTACCTGCACCTTTCTACGGGTGACATCAATCAAGGAAGACGTGGTTCGTGCTTCCTCATTTTATTTCAAATTACCAAACATTGCTCATGGATATTTTTATTTGTCATAAACTATTCTTTTGGGGCTTGCATGCCCATGTTATTGGCCGATTGTGGCTTATGACTTACCGTTGAATATTTCCGCTATTCATTGGTTTAAATGTGATGTTGTTATGTATGTTTACTACTGAGTATGGATGGATTATTTTCTCGAACGCCTTGTGTAATCAAGTGAGGTTGACTCGCGGGTGACGTCACTTGATTATGCGGCGGTTGTACACGCGCTTGGATTGCGGTCTGGGGCGTGACAATTAAGTGGTATCAGAGCCATCTCAGTTCTAAACTATATAATCAACCTCTCACATGAGATTTTACGAAAGAGTTTTTACCGAAAACCATGAGCATTGGATTTTGACGTTATGGGACTATTGGAGCCTAAGTTGCAAGGCCTCTAATTGTTAAGACGGTACCCTTAACAATTGGTATGGTGGTGACTTAGACCAATACGTGTCTGTAACGTTCTTCCGTCAATTGACATTTATAGGAGTCTAATGACTCATCCATATTTCTTTCAGAAATGGAGGGCAGGCGAATGCGGACTAGGAACAATCCGAGGGGGCAGGCGCCGGTAACATCCCAAAGGGGAAGCCGGGCTGCATCTCGGGGTTCAAGAGGAGGCCGTGGAGGCCGTGGAGGTCATCAAGCTCAAACTGTGAGTGATGGCCATGTAAGCTCGGTGTATGAAACCAACACCGAGGACTATGACTCTACGTATGTTCCTGAGACAGAGCATGAGGAGACCCCATATGATGGGGGTGACACATACACCGATGAGGACAATGATGAAAGTGATGCCCGCTTCGCCCAAATGGGTGAATTACTTGAGTGGTATCAAAAGGAGAAACAGAGGAGAGACCTTAGGCGCCAAGCGAGGCGTGGCTCTCGTGGTGGTTCGGGTCAGGGGAGCCGGGGAGCTTCCGTGGCCACCCCAGCGGCGTCACAAGGTGGGCGTGAAGGAGGTTTTGTTGTGAGAATCTCCAAGTACCTCAAGGAGGCTAGGGCCTTGGGGTGTAGGTCCTTTGACGGCACCGGTGACATTACCGTTGCCGCCGATTGGATTAAGAAGGTGAAGGATGCATCAAGAGACATGCAAATCACACCGGACGTGAAGTTGACTGTCGCTTCACGGCTACTTGAAGGGATAGCCTCTACGTGGTGGGAGAGCGTGGAAGGGAAGTACCATGGGGAAATAACATGGGCGGACTTTGAGCTAGAGTTCTATGCTCAATACTACTCCGAGTACGAGGTGAATGTGAAACGGAGAGAGTACACTAACCTCAAACAGAAAGATGGCGGCACGGTTAAGCAGCTGGAACAAGAGTTTAGAACCTTGGCGAGGTTCTTGCCAGAGTATGCGGTTGATGAGAACCGCATGACGGAGCACTTCTGGGATGCATTACTCTTGGACATCCGCGACCGAGCTACATACTCTCGCCACATGTCATTTAGCGAGGTGGTGGAACAGGGCCTTCTTGGAGAGGCCCAGTGGAATGAGAGGAAAGCAAGGGACGCCGAAGAGGCGAAGAAGAGGAAGTGGAATAATTCGGGGCCACCCGATCATTCTCGAAGAAACAACCACGGGGGTGGTGGTGGTGGCGGTGGTTCATTCAAGGCGCCGGCCCCACCGGCAAAGAAGAACAGGGATGCGAGGTGGCACGGACCTAGGCCACAGAACTCGGGGCCACCTAGATGTCCCAATTGCTCAAAACAACACTTTGGGAAGTGCAATGAACCACCGAGGTGTTTTAAGTGCGGGAATGCGGGCCATATGAAGGCCAATTGCCCTCAATTGATGCAAGAGAGTGCCTCGGGAGCCGGGGGAGGGACCATGACGGGAAGGAACCGTGCGGGACCGTCAAACGGCGGCACGGGAAGAGGCGGCGCATCCACAAGTCATGCCGCATCCGTCAACCAAGGTGGGACCCAAGCCCGAGTGTACGCGATGACCGAGGCGGATGCGAGAGCAAACCCGGACTCCGTTGCAGGTAATACACGTATTCCCATGTATTTCTAGGCTTACTTTGATCATATACGTCGTTGAGATTGAGTGCGGGCCACCCCGGGGTCGAACCGGGTGAGTTAGGCCAAATCGGACTGGAAACAGCCACTGCTGGCCAGGCACGCCCGCAGGCACGCCGTGCCTGGCGTCGTGCCTGGAGGGCAGTGGCACCCGAAGAGAAAGAAAAAAAAAAAATTTGGGCCAGGCACGGCCGCAGGCACGCCGTGCCTGGCGTCGTGCCTGGAAGGCAGTGTCGCCCCGAAGGAATTCGGCCAGGCACGGCCGCAGGCACGCCGTGCCTGGCACCGTGCCTGGGAGGCAGTGTTGAACAGGAAGGATCCGATGCACGCACGGCCGTGCGTGCCACCCAGGCACGCCGTGCGTGGACCCCAGAACCCGGAAATCGGATTTTTCCGCCCCGTTCTTCTACGTTTGGACTCCCGTTTGATTCCAAACATTAGTATGAGCCTAATAAACTCCTAAAGATGTGTAAAAACATTAGAAAATGTATCTTACATGGTGTATAAATGTAGGAACATTAAAGATCAATGGTAGGTGTGCGAGGATCCTCATCGATACCGGGGCACAACGCTCATTTGTGAGTGAGGCGTTCGCCGAGGGCTTTGACGTGCCATTGACACCTATGACTCAAACGTTGCTAGTCTCCACACCGTTAGGAGACGACGTGGAGAGAAATCATTACTATCCGTCGTGTGAGGTAGAAGTGACGGGTCAACCTTTGACTTGTGATTTCGTACCTCTAAGCATGTTGGAGTTTGATGCAATCCTAGGAATGGATTGGCTCGAGAAACACCATGCCCGGGTAGATTGCTACACCAAGGTGTTGGAGCTCGAGGATGATCAAGGGAACACGCTATGTTTCAAGGGAGATCGGGGGAAATCTAATGCTTGTATCATATCCGTGATGAGGGCACGAAAGATGATGAGGAAGGGATGCCACGCATACCTTGCATATGTGGTAGATGATACGAAGAAGGAAGTCGACATCAAGGATGTTCGAGTCGTGTGCAAGTACCCGGACGTCTTTCCCAAGGACCTACCGGGGCTTCCACCCGATAGAGAGATTGAATTTGTAATCGAAGTGGAGCCGGGAACCAAACCCATTTCGATTCCTCCTTATCGAATGGCGCCGGCCGAACTCCAAGAGTTGAAGGTCCAACTACAAGAATTACTGGACAACGGGTTCATCAGACCCAGTCATTCACCGTGGGGAGCACCCGTACTCTTCGTAAAGAAGAAAGATGGTACACTTAGAATGTGTATCGACTACCGACAGTTGAACAAGGTCACCATCAAGAACAGGTATCCCTTACCGAGGATTGATGACTTGTTCGATCAACTTCGAGGGGCAATAGTGTTCTCGAAGATTGACTTGAGGTCGGGGTATCATCAGTTGAAGATCAAGGAGAGTGACATACCTAAGAGTGCATTTCGCACTAGATATGGTCATTACGAATTCCTGGTGATGTCGTTTGGTTTAACCAACGCACCGGCGGCATTCATGGACTTGATGAACCGTGTGTTTAGTGAATACTTAGATCAATTTGTGATAGTATTCATTGACGACATCTTGATATACTCCAAGAGCGAGGAAGAGCACGAACACCATTTGAAGCTTGTACTTGATCGGCTAAGGGAAAAGCAACTCTTCGCCAAGTTCTCCAAATGCGAATTTTGGCTCAAAGAGATTGGTTTCCTCGGTCATGTCATATCCGGTTCAGGTGTTGCTGTGGATAACGCCAAGATAAAAGCGATCATGGATTGGGAGAGGCCCAGGAATGCGAAGGAGATACGTAGTTTCCTTGGCTTAGCGGGGTACTATCGTAAATTTGTTGAGAAATTCTCCGTATTGGCGTCTCCATTAACGAAGCTCACAAAGAAAGGGGCCAAGTTCATATGGGACGATAAGTGCGAGAAGGGGTTCCTTGAATTGAAGAAACGACTTACCGAAGCACCAGTCCTGGCCCTACCCATACAGGGTATAGGGTACGACATTTACAGCGATGCTAGCATCCAAGGGCTTGGATGTGTACTAATGCAAAACGGTAAGGTGATTGCCTATGCTTCTAGGCAATTGAGGAAACACGAGGTGAACTACCCTACTCACGATCTAGAGTTGGGGGCGGTGGTGTTTGCATTGAAGATTTGGAGACATTATCTCTACGGGGAGACGTGTCACATTTATACTGACCATAAGAGCTTGAAGTATGTATTCACCCAGAAAGAGTTGAATATGAGGCAGAGGAGATGGATGGAGTTGATCAAGGACTATGACTTGATCATCGACTATCATCCCGGAAAGGCCAATGTAGTGGCCGACGCACTGAGCAGGAAGAGTACGTCAGGGACGCTACTCACATGTCTACAAGCATTGAGGGCACACGTGGAGGTATCCACGAGCGGGGCGCTCATTGCTAGATTCGAGGTGAGGCCTACATTGCTGAGCGAGATCAGTAGATGTCAGGCCATTGATGAGGAATGTCAGAAGATCCGCGAACGGATCCTTGAGGGGCCCGTCGAGAATTTTCGGGTACGTGATGACGGCCTTTTATTATTTAAGGATCGTGTGTGCATACCAAAGAATGAGGAGCTCCAGAAGGCTATACTTGAGGAGGCTCATTCTTCAGCATATGCCATGCATCCAGGGGGCACTAAGATGTACCGAGATCTGAAGGAAAGTTACTGGTGGTCAGGCATGAAGAAGGATATCGCAGAGTTTGTGAGTCGATGCCTTACTTGCCAGCAAGTTAAGGCAGAGCATCAGCACCCAGCAGGGCTCTTACAACCACTCGCCATCCCAGAGTGGAAGTGGGAACATGTGACCATGGACTTCGTGGTGGGGCTGCCACGAACAGTGAACAACTACGATGCAGTATGGGTAGTGGTTGATAGGCTCACCAAGAGTGCACACTTTCTGCCTATCAACATTACTTATCCTCTTGAAAGATTAGCCAAGCTATACACGGAGGAGATTGTGAGATTACATGGAGTCCCAATATCCATTGTCTCGGATAGGGATCCACGATTCACATCCCGATTTTGGCCAAAGTTTCAAGCATCTTTGGGGACTAAACTGAAGTTTAGCACAGCTTTTCACCCACAGACGGATGGACAGTCCGAGCGGGTGATACAGATTTTGGAAGACATGCTTAGGGCATGTGCTTTGGAGTTCCAAGGAAGTTGGGACAAGCATTTGGCCCTAGTAGAGTTTGCCTATAACAACAGTTATCAGGCAAGTATCGGCATGCCCCCATATGAGGCATTGTATGGGAGGAAGTGCAGAACACCATTGTGTTGGGACGAGGTTGGCGAGGCCAAACTCGAAGGGATAGAGCTAGTTGAGATCACCAAGGCCAAGGTGAGGATCATTCGGGATAGATTGAAGGCCGCTCAGGACCGACAGAAGAGTTATGCTGATAAACGGCGGAGACCGTTGGAGTTCGAAGTCGGTGATGAGGTCTTCCTAAGGATTTCTCCTTGGAAGGGCATCATCCGATTCGTATCGAGGGGGAAGCTTAACCCCCGATACATAGGTCCGTTTGAGATCCTTGAAAGGATCGGGGCCGTGGCTTATCGTCTCAAGTTGACGCCTGAACTTGAGAAGATACATGACGTGTTTCATGTATCAATGCTCAAGAAGTACATACGAGACCCATCTCATATTCTTGAGAAACCACCGGTAGAGATCCGTGAGGACTTGCAATATGCGGTGGAACCAGTGAAGATTGTTGGTCAACAAGTGAAGAAGCTTAGGAATAAGAAAATTCCTATGGTAAAGGTTCTTTGGAGGAGTGATCGAGTCGAAGAAGAAACTTGGGAGACCGAGGTCTCAATGAGGGAGCAATACCCACTTCTTTTCGATTAGATACTTGGATTTCGGGGACGAAATCCCAAATAAGGGGGGGTGAACTTGTAACACCGTCCCCAAATATATTTACTTTTATGTAAATAATGTATTGAACCTTATTAAAGGATTTACGAATTTACGAAGTTGTAAATTTTTATTATTTCGTTCGCGTGAATAGTAAATTGCACGTGGGACCCACACCAGGGGCGGGGGCCGCCCGGCATTTCCGAGACTATATATTTTATTCCTCTTGGTCTAGATAATAAATATATAGTGGTGGATATTTCATTTGGGCAATGGAAAGGCCCAGAGTTGACCGATTGGTCAAAAGAAGCCCAAATTACCGGTACTGGTAATTTAACAGATATCAGCCCGGAAATGAAATTCGGAGACTCCTAAATCAATGTTTTGGAATATATACTATTTCAAAAGTCCATTACGATTGAGGACACGTAATATATTTTATTTTACCCGATAAAATAAAATATGATTAAAACAGTCCGAAAAATACAACTTTCGGGACCGATTGTACACCTCGGGACACAAGGGATGACCTCCCACATGAGTGGGGGCCATCCCACGTTTTATTAGCTCCATGTGACCCCTTGGGAGCTGCAAGGACAAGGGAAGGTGGGAGGAAGGTCAACCATGTGGTAGGATGGGACCCTTTTCCCCCATAATTGGTGAGATGAGCCAAAAAGGCCATCCTATCACCCCCTCACCCCAATAGCTCGACCAAGCCACCCAAGAAAGAGAAAGAAAGGCTCTCCAACCCTCCTCCATTGCTGCAACTCGAGCTCAAGCAAGAAAGGTCCAAGGAGTGGGATTAAAGAAGGAAAAAGGGCTAGGAAAAGTGTGTAAATCAAGGTAATGACCTTATTATAACTTCTCCTTTATTTTTCTTCTACCATATAAGATATATATCATGTGAAGGATCCTTAAGAGGGTTCTACATGTTATGAGTATGGATTTATGGGTTGGGAAGTGATTCTATGTCCAAGAACGGACTTAGAAGTCAAAACGACCGGTTCACCGGAAAATAACCTTTTTGAGGTTATTTGTATTAACATGGGTTTTATGATTATAAAACCTTGTTAGGCACTTGTAAAGGGTATTTCAAGTGATTTCACAAAGTTGGAAAAGTCGCCGGAATTGTCGCCGGAGTTGACCAAAAGTCGCCGGAGTTTCACCGGAGTTCAACCAAGAAGGGTAGAACTTCTTAACGCTAGTTCAAGGTGAGTGGACGGCTTAATATCTTATAACTTTTGGGTCAATTATGAGATTACCTAAATGAATGTTATATGTGTTCATAATGATGTTTAAAAGATATTTAAACATGTGATTAGCCAACATAGTTAAGTGCGTATGAAAAGAATAATTGTTTATGCATGAAATATGATATGAGAAATTATATATAATGCATATTTGTTTTAAGAGTAAAAGAAGCACAATGGAGATTATTAACTTAATTATATGATGAATTAGTTAATAAGTGTAAGACTTGAGATGGCGGTCAACAACAACGTTGACCGATGGTAAATGGATTAATTAATATCGGTTGATATTAGTTAATTATACATTTATATGGTTGCATGGATTTGCATGGATTGTGATACATAAGCTTTATGTAGTGAATTAGTTATGAATGACTAAATATGATATAGACCCTATCTAGCGTGATATGTGGTAAGTCATAGGTCGGGTGGAGTACCCAAGGATCGGGCGGTTATCCTCAAAACTCGGTTATATAGGGTGGAGTACCCAAGGATCGGGTGGTTATCCTCAAAACTCGGTTATATAGGGTGGAGTACCCAAGGATCGGGCGGTTATCCTCAAAACTCGGTTATATAGGGTGGAGTACCCAAGGATCGGGCGGTTATCCTCAAAACTCAATTATAGGGTGGAGTACCCAAGGATCGGGCGTGTATCCTCAAAACTCATAGATTTCAGTTAATGATCTAGGACCGGGCGGTGTCCTTATGATAATTTATTTGAACAAGGAGGAGTTCTATACACTCATAGGTATATGGGTGGGTTGGGATTTAAGTCAAGGATATTGGCAACTATTATTTTCCCAAATAAACAATGACCTACGGGTCGGGTATTTCCAAGTGTATGTATACTAATATGTATTTCAAACTTGGGGGAAGGATTATACGTATATGTATCACCCTATGTTTGGGTCCTATACTTGAAACGTTAGTTATTCTATATTTAGCCTGCTACTCGCTCGGTACTTGTACTGACCCCTTCGGGGGCCCCACCATTTTCAGGTTGAAGCTAGGGCTTGCTACCTGCACCTTTCTACGGGTGACATCAATCAAGGAAGACGTGGTTCGTGCTTCCTCATTTTATTTCAAATTACCAAACATTGCTCATGGATATTTTTATTTGTCATAAACTATTCTTTTGGGGCTTGCATGCCCATGTTATTGGCCGATTGTGGCTTATGACTTACCGTTGAATATTTCCGCTATTCATTGGTTTAAATGTGATGTTGTTATGTATGTTTACTACTGAGTATGGATGGATTATTTTCTCGAACGCCTTGTGTAATCAAGTGAGGTTGACTCGCGGGTGACGTCACTTGATTATGCGGCGGTTGTACACGCGCTTGGATTGCGGTCTGGGGCGTGACAAAGCATGTGCAACCAAACACACGAGGCACAAGAGAGAACAAGGACTGAGAGGGAAATAAAACGGAATATGGAATCTGACCATTAAGAACAGAAGAAGGCATACGATTGATAAGGTAACACGCAGTGGAAACAGCGTCTACCCAAAATGGTTTAGGAACCCCCATGTGAAATATTAAGGCTCGAGCTACTTCTAGTAGGTGACGATTCTTTCGTTCAGCTACACCATTTTGTTGAGGTGTATAGGGACAAGAAGTGTGGTGTAAAATCCCATGGCGAGATAAGTAAGATTGAAAAGTGCTAGATAGATAGTCTTTAGCATTATCACTTCTCAGAATGCGTATATTCTTATTAAATTGAGTTTGAATTTCAGCATGAAAGGTACAAAATGCAGTAAACACATCTGAACGGGATTTCAAAGGATAAAGCCAAGTAACCCGTGAAAAATCATCCGCAAATGTAACAAAATAACGATGACCAAGTTTGGAAACGACAGGACAAGGACCCCACACATCAGTGTGAACTAAATCAAAACTAGACTCAACACTTTTATTTATTCGAGGACGGAAAGTTTTTCTGTGATGCTTAGCAAACTGACATGCTTCACACTCCAAAACAGACTCCCGTGACAGACTAGGACACATTTTTTGTAGTACAGAAAGTGATGGATGACCAAATTGACAGTGAACTTTCAACAAAGACGAACTTGTGCATGCAACTGATCTTGGTACCAAGGATTCAAAAACGTATAAGCCATTAACCAGTCTGCCTTTACCAATAATCTGCTTCGTCCCAAGATCCTGAAAAAGACAATGGGTGGGAAAGAAAATAACACAGCAGTTTAGGGCTTTAGTAATCTGACTGACTGAGATTAAATTAAATGGAAATTGAGATAAATATAAAACAGAAGATAGAGAAAGGTTTGGAGAAAGAGTTGTTGTTCCGAGGCCATTGACAGATGTGGTTGATCCATTTGCTAAAGTAACATGAGACTGGTTAGCACAAGAGGTAAATGAAGACAAAATATTTTCATTACCAGTCATATGATCCGTTGCGTCAGAATCGATCACCCAATTGCGTGATGATGTAGAGAGGCATGCAGCAGGATTACCTGTATCAACTTGTGGTCTGGCAGATGAGGCTGTGAGAGAAAGTTGTAGTAGCCGAGCATATTCATCGGCTCAGATAGTAAAGGTGGAAGGAGTTGGTAGGATACCATCCTGGATAGCCGTATTAGCAACACGCCTGGGAGGAAACTGTCCAGACGCCTGTGGACGACCATGTAATTTCCAGCAATTCTTCTTCACATGACCCTCAGCTCCACAGTGATAACATGTGCGAGAAGAATTATGAGTCCCCTCAGTAGTGACTGAATTGGTCCTTTTACCACGGCTGACATCACTGACTAAGGCAGCAGTATCGATCGAGTTCATCATTCTGGATTCTCCATCTTTGCACACTGGAAGGAGACGTCCATAGAGGTCAGAAAAACTAGGAAGGGTCCCACCAGATAGTATTTGACTCCTTGATACCTCATATTGTGGACCAAGCCCAGCCAAAACACCATGAACAAATGTTCGCTCCTCTTGTTCTTGCATACTCTTAACATCAGCAGTAATAGGGAATCGGGACCGCTTTTCTTCAAAAATCTGTTTACATTCATTGTAGTATTGAAACAGCGTCTGGTCCTTCATCTCTGGTCTATAGTAGTGCATCAGTAATTGATGAACATAAGAGAGATCTTGTTTACTAGCATACATAGACTCCAAGTATTCCCACATTTCTTTGACAGTATCACAGTGAGTAATGATACTATCAATAGAAGGATCCAGGGTATTCTGAATTTGATTGAACAACCTATCATCGGCCATCATCCATTTCTTTCTTTCATCAGGATGACTTCGTGGAGGAGCCATTTCACTTAGATGATCTCCCAGATCAAGACTATTAACATACCTGGTAATAGTCCGTTTCCACTGCCCGTAATCTTTACAACCAGTCAGTTTTCTCTCGGTAATTCTAGCATTACCGACCGTAATTTCAGTCACACTCTTCTTATCATCACCCATGCTTGCAAACAACTAGGCCAAGAGTGATAACAAGAGATGCGGTGCAGATTGTGTCCAGAAAAGAAAATCAGACCTGCGAAGTGCGAGAAACGTCCTGCACCGCACAAAAGAAGGCTGAATCGAACCAGAGGGAGGGAACAGAGTCGAACTTCGGGAAGTACTACCCGAAAAACCTGTGTGGCTCTGATACCATGTAAACTGAGTAATAGGGATAAAAGATGGAATGAAATCACTTTCTTTTATTCATTGGGTAGAGCCAGTATATATACATACATGCTAGAGAATACAAAAGGAAACTAAATCTGCCAGATTTACATAGAATATTTAGTCTATCGCAGAGAATATATTAGCTACCAAATATATACATAGAATATATTGACTATTAAATATGTATATTCTAACATTAAATATGTATATTCTAACAAAAATGACCAGTCTATTGGTGAAGTTTAAGTCCCTAGATTTGTATAGTTTACATGGTATTGATAAAGCAGATTTGGTGATGTTGTTACCCTCCATCATAACCATAGAGATCTCTTCACAGCCAGAAAGTACACTCCAAAATGCTCCATTTTTTTTATGGTAATGGTGAGGGAGAGCAAGGTTATGGACTGAATGTTGAAAATGTAGTTGAAACTTATGATGATGATGAAGAGCATGATTCTGAAGAGGGTGTTGAAGATTTTGAACAAGAACAAGAAGAACCAAGTAATTACTTCTTTGAGGGTGATGATGATTACGTAACCGGTGATGAAGCTGAAATGAGCGATGATGAATGTAGAACAACCAAGGAAAGGGTTAAGGACTGCAATACTAAATTGTTTGAACTGGCAAATCAACTTCAAAAGGAGGCAGCTATAGGTAAGCTTGGTGGTCAAATTAAACAACCTAATTGTAACGCAGAAGCAAGCACCCCAGATGGAGAGGATGCATGTTTTAGTGACTATGAGGGTAGTGAGGAGGAAATCAACACCCCCCAGATACTTCAGAAGAAGACTTAGCTGAAAATAGCAAGAAAAAAAAAGAATTTGTGATCTAGTGCCTATGAATACCGATTTCTCTATGTTTCAATGGAAGGCTGGACAGAGGTTTGCCACTCGGGAGGATTTTAAGAAGGCTGTAGCTAAGTTTGCCATCTTGCAAGGTAGAAATCTCAGTTTTGTTGTGAGCAACAAAAAAAGACAACAAAGGTTAGGGGTTAAGTGTGTACCAGGCTGCCCAATTAGGTTGTATTCATCTTGGGATTCTAGGAGAGCAACATTTGTAGTGAAGACAGTTGAAAACAAGCATAAGTGTCATCGAAATATGAAAAAGAACAAACAACTGAAATCAACATGGGTTGCGCAACAGTTTGTTGATGTGTTCAAGGCAAGACCACACTGGCCAGCTAAGGAAATCATTGAGACAGTAAAGAGGGCTTACAAGACAGTAATCAAAAGGAATTTTGCATATAAAGTAAAATATTATGCACATAAGTTACTTCATGGATCGATGGAGGAGCACTATAACAAAGTTGGAAGATATTTGGAGGCTTTGAAGATGTCAAGTCCTGGAACTGAATTGCAGCTGATTACCGACCTAAATAAGAACAATTCACCCCCAATATTTCAAAGGTTGTTCATCTGCTTCGAAGGTCTTCAAACAGGATGGAAGGAAGGGTGTAGGAAGGTGATATGTGTTGATGCTTGTTTTTTAAAAACATTTCTTGGTGGACAATTACTGTGTGCTGTGGGTAGAGATGGTAATGAACAAATGTATCCCATAGCATGGGCGGTTGTTGAAGGAGAGAACAATTTGTCATGGGAGTGGTTTTTCGTCCAACTTCAAAGATGCCTTGCCTTAGGGGATGGTGATGACATAGCCATAATTTCTGATGAGCACCAGGTCAGAAATCATTATTATTTTATGTTTAGCAGTACATTGTATTTGTTTAATGTGTTGTTTTTGTTTTGCAGGCTATTCTAAATGTTGTTTCAAGTGTTCTTCCTCTAGCTGAACATAGACACTGTGCGAGGCACATATTTGCACTATGGCACAAGTCTTTCAAAGGAGATGAAATGAAGCTTTTGTTTTGGAAGATTGCCAAAGCTTACAATATGGCAGATTACAATGACGCCTTCGAAGAATTGGAAAAGGTGAATCTTGAGGCTGCAACTGCTTTCAAAACCTACAACCCGAAGCTCTTTTGTAGGGCATTTGTGAAGACAAGTATAAGAACAGATGCAATAACAAACAACATGGCCGAGACCTTCAATGGCTACATCATAAATGCTAGAACAAAGCATCTAATATATATGCTAGAAGACATACGGACTACATTGATGCAGAGATTGGTGCAAAAAAACAAGCAATGGAGACAGAGGACTCAAAAATCTGCCCAAGAATCCAAACCAAACTTGAATTGGAGAAGGGTAAAGCTGCATATTGTGATGTTCTCAAAAATTTCTACCTAGATAGTCTCACTGTGGACTTGGAAGCAAGAAGTTGTACATGTAGGAAATGGGATATGACTGGCATACCATGTTGTCACGTAATAGCTTGCATATCCTTTCTTCATAAAGAAGCAGAAGACTTTGTTGAAGACTGCTATAAGAGGGAAACTTATTTGAAGGCATATGCAGGTTGTATTCCTCCATGTGAAGGTGAGAGGCATTGGCCTAGGTTAGAGTGTAAGTTGTATCCTCCTCCAATAAAAATAGGTCCTGGAAGACCTAGAAGGAATAGGAGAAAAGACCCTTTTGAAAACCCCAAAACAAATGGAAAACTTACTAGACATGGTATTGAGATGACGTGTAGTGTGTGCCAAATCAAGGGAC